ATCTCTTCAATATTAAATGATTGAGAAACAGTGATCCAAGCATGGGTTTGGAATTGTCTCTTCACTTCCAGGTCGTCATAAACTTTCTTGATGAGGGTGGTTTTACCCAAGCCACCCATTCCCACCACCGAAATCACTTTAAGTCGAGAATCAGCATCATCAAGGACCCAATCAATGAGTTGTTGTTTGGGCTTGTCGATGCCAACAAGATCAGCTTCTTTTAGTAGAAGTGCATCACCTCTTCGATCATACCATCCGCCATTGTTTGCCACATTGGAGCTTGAGGCTTGCACTGAGGTACTACTGAATTTGTAACCATACCTCTGACGTCTCTCTGCAATATCGATGACTCTGGCTTTGATGTCCTGTATATCAGAAGCAATTTGACGACGAGCTTTCATGTTCTTAATTTGATAATAGATCTTACAAATAGATCCATAGAATCCACGATGATGATGATGACGAGCAAAGCGAAGCATAAATTCATCAAGAACGTCGTCGGTATCGAGAGCGACGTCTCTGACTTGCTTAACCCATGCTTGGATCTCTGGATCAGTGTCTTCAATTGCATCGGCAACCCTCAGGAAGGCACTCATGCTCTGAAGCTCGTCTCTGATGAACACAATTTCTCCCTTAACTCTACCCAACGATTTCAGCTCTTCTTCAATCAAGCTTCCAAGCTTTCTAAGCAAGAAGGTCACCGCACTCTCTGCCATATTCTCTCTCCTTTAAAGGTTGAAACACGTCTCGCCTGTGTAGTAGTAGTAGTGTGTACTGATCTGATGAGAAGTGGATCGATGTGGTTTTCAATGGAGAGAGAGAGAGAGAGAGAGAGAGCAGGGAGTAGAGAAAGAGGAAAGCTTCAAAACGTGTTTCTGCCGCCTGCCCAAGTTGACTCTAAAAGCATCTCAAGGACTCTACAAAAGATAAGACGGTTTAGTTATTATTATGAGCTGTTTCGGGAAGTTGGAGTTTTTTTTTTTTAATATTCTTAAAAAGAAAAAATTATTTACAGAATTTATTCACTTTTTAAATTATTTGGAAAATTAATTTATTTTTTGAAATCGTATTTTAAAAATGTAATTTTGAAATTGAAATTACATTTTTAACATGTAATTTCCTTTTGAAATCGCAGATTGAAAATGTAATTTATGATGACATGGTGAAATTACATATTTAACATGCGATTTTCAATTAAAATCACATTTTCAATTTCAAGATGAAATTGCATGTTGACAATGTAATTTCAATTTTAAAATCGCATTTTCAAAATATTATTTCAAAAACAGGTTAGTTTCTCAAATAGTTTGAAAAGTTAGTCAATTTTCTAAATAGTTTTTTTTTTTAGAATATTAAAAAAAAAAACTCTGGGAAGTTGAGGTTTGGAATTTTTTTAGCTAAAATAGTCATAAAAAATAAAATAGATTTTTTAGTTTAATAAGATAAAACATCACATTTAATTCATAATCATTACGTTCTTCCTCTCATAAAAGGTCAAAAAGTTCTTCCCAAACGAGACTTTTTAGTCTCAGATTAAAATAGTCAAAAAGTTAAAAAACCAAAAAGCCAACCCACTTCCCAAACCAACCTATACCAGGGGTCTGGCTTTCCTGCTTTGCATTAGGTTATTCTGAATAAGTTTTTTTTATAAATAAGGGTTAATTACACTAATAGTTCATATAGTTTGGGACTTGTGTCGCTTTGGTCTCTGACTTTTCAATTGTGACACATTTGATCATGAATTTTGAATTTTGTTCCAAATAAAGACAATTGAAAAAAATCATTAGATTTTTCAAGAGTAAAATCGTCAATTTGATAAAATATAAACTAATTTGACAAAAGTAAATGTCAAAAAAATATTTTTAATTTTTTTAAAATTATTTTTATCTACTAAAAATAAAATTATGTAAAATTGATAAATCTTTTAGACATTTTTTTTTACCAAATTAATTTTTATTATATATTTGGATGATGATCATGTAAAATTAATTTAAAAAAAATAATCATTTAATTTTTATTAATTTTACATAATTTTATCATTGGTGGATAAAAATAATTTTAAAAAAATTAAAAATATTTTTTTGACATTTACTTTTGTCAAATTAGTTTATATTTTATCAAATTGACAATTTTACCCTTGAAAAATCTAATTATATATTCAATTGTCCTTATTTGGAACAAGATTCAAAATTTAAGGTCAAATGTGTCACAATTGAAAAGCCAGGAACCAAAGTGACACAAGTCTCAAACTAATAGGGACTATTTGTGTAATTTGCCCTATAAATAATCTTGCAAAAGTTTGAATGAATGAATGAGTAACAAATCCCAAAATCTATTAATTGGATAATTTAGGTCTTGTTTGGTAAGTAATAATTTTTGTTTACAAGTCAAAAAGTCATTAAAAAAAATCAAAAAGCCTATAACTTATACCAAAAAGTCAAAGATTCAATTTTTTCTCTACTTTTTTCATATCTTTTTGTAAAAAACTAAAAAGTCATTCTAAATATGCAAGTTTTTTTTATTTCATATTTTAGTTAAAAAGTTACTGAAATAGCATGTTCCCAAACGAGGCCTTAATCTTAAATCAGTGCAAAATTATTGCGTCAAAAATTGAATTGGGAATGTGTTGTTCGGACTCATAGGGCTTATTACAAGTTTTTTTTAATCAACTGAATCATTTATTTTGTATTGTTGAGTTAGAACACAACGACTATATGAAAGCGAATTTTTATTTAGATACAGAGATACCATTAAGTATAGAAGGAGACTCCAAAGAACACCTGAAGTTTGGAATCACACACACTTGAGCACTTGTCTCCACTTCTTGTTATTGTGTCTTGTACCTTCCAAATGAGGTCACTTTTCTTTATGTAGTCATTTACCTCCTCAATAGATGGCTAGGATTATTTTGATTCAAGAGCTATTATTAACCCTTTAGAATATTCTAACATATACTTATATTTTTCCAGTATTCTAAAATTCTTTAAACTATTCTATAGTAGTACTTTCTATACTTCTAAAATATTCCAAAACCTTCTAGATTTCTCTAGATTTCTACAAGCTTCTCTAATATTCCGCAACCTTCTACAATGTTCTACAATCTTCCAGATTTCTCTAGATCTTTCTAAAGTGTTCTAGATCTTTCCGAAGTCTTTTAGATTATTCAACATATGTAATTAATAGCCTAGATAATTCTAGAAAAGTCAATGATGACTCTTAATATGTACAATCACCCATATATATTATTCATATAAAAAATTAAGTCGATTTGATATTCCTAACCTATTCAATTTATTGTATTTGTTACTAAAAAATTGGATAGTCTATTTTTAAAAACATAATTGTCATTCATTTTTTTAAAACAAATGCCATAAATTAAATAGAGTATGATTATCGGATTTACTTAATTTTTTTGTGAATGATATTCTCAAAGGGCCTCACAAAATAAATAATTTAGATTATTAAAACAGGAACCATGATGTGTCCCATGATCTAGAGAGAAGTTAGGTCCTTCAAAATTATTGTAGAAAAACTTAATCCATAAATCTCATATGGGAAATGTTGGTCCATTTAGTTAGAAGAGTTTTCTTATGAACAATTATACCTTTTTATTTTGGAAAGTTATATTTATTTGATTTAGTGCGATTTGAGTTTAAGTGAATGTCCTTTTGTGATTCATTTTTAAATTTTTTTTTTATTTGTTTCTGGGATGAGAATGAAAAGGTGAGGTGTGAAAGATTCTTTTTAAGGGATTGGTGGCTGAAGTGTTGGTTGTCGAGCATAAAAATCTACATTTTTATTAGTGTAATTTTCTGGTGTTATATTGGAGTGTTACATTAGTGTGCTACGTTTGGAAAAGAAAAGTACACTAAGGAGTTTTTGTGTGTTACGTTATGTTATTCAACTTTACAGAAATTCAGGCTGTGTCTGGGTTGTAATTCAAACCATGATTCCACACCTGTTATCAACCCTCTATTTGCTTACAGTTTTCAAATCACGATTCCAAATCAATTTCAAAACACATTTTGAAAACATGTTTTGTAAACCATAGAGTTTTTGAATTTTTGGTCTACCCAGTCGTCCGCCTAAACAGTTTTTGAATTTTTAGATCTACTCGGTCGTCCGACCAATTGGCTGGAATAGTTTTTTTTTTTTTTTATAGCAATTGGCATCTGTTATCTACAAAAATTAATTATATTTGTTTTTGATATTTTTTTAATATAGAAAATATTTTTTTGAGACCAAAATGACAAATCATTTGGACATTTATTTAAAATTAACAAAAAAATTCAAATAAAAATTAATTTGTCACAATAATTTTTAAAAAATAAAAAAATATTTTCAGAATTTTTTAAATTTTTTAAATAAAAAAATTATTTTTGTCAATAATTATTTTTTTGAATTGAATTTTAAAAAGAGTTTGGTTATGAACTTCGAATATAATTTTCAATAGAATTTTAAGTTGTATGTTCGGTTATGAATTATAAGTTTTTGAATTAAGTTTTAAAAATTATTTTCAAAACTCAAAATTGAATAACTTTTCACAAACTCAACAATCATTTCAAAAATTCAACACTTAATTCAAAATTCAATTTAAAACTTTTTTCAAAACTCATAACCAAACATGTTTTTTCTTTTCAAATCATAATTTCAAAACTCACAAACTCAAAATACAACTCCATACTCAAATTATAATTCTAAACACAAACCCAACGCTACCTCAGTTTGTCATATTCTAAAAAAAAAATTGAGTTATCTATTCAATTACATCATTTGACAGTACAAACAAGTTCACCTAAAACCGAATTTTGAATTCATATACATTTCAAGCTTTGTAATTTGTTTCCTTTCCTTATGTTTTCATATATGGTTGTGGTGTTTTTATTTTATAAATACCCAAACCAATTACCTCAACCTTTTGGACCCTACAAGAAAGATTGTAGCCTTTTTTTATACCATTAATATTATGTCATACGACTTGAATGATTTTTTAGCAATCAATGCCAGTAGAACTCAAATGCTCGCCTTCAAGTGGATTATGCTTTCAAGTAACTCTTGGGCCAAGGCATGTACTCTCATGCACACTACACATACTTGACTTAACAAACGTCGAGGTCAAGTACTTGGGGTTAATTATGCAGATCATGCTTCTCCAATCAGCTCTACACATAACCTCACACATATAATTTGCAGCAAATAGTCAACATGGGGGTGAATACAAAATAATGGACCCATTTCTATTAGCATAAGTTATAGTTTCCTCTGCTCGCTACCAATTTTGGACCCCTTTCGCAAAGTACATCTTGTAATTTTTACAAATTTTAAAATACTTATAGACTAAATTGCTTTTTGATCAATTTTGTATATTTGATTTGCGATGCAATGAGAATATAGATTAATTTTTTAAAAATTTATAGATATTATATTTATTTATTAAATAATATTGTAAGAAAATAGTGTATTTGAATTTGAACAAAGGAGCCTTTGTAGTTTTTTAGCTGGTCAATTTCTTTGAAAACTTTTCATTTTGTTTTGAGAACGAAGGCTTTCGTTGCCGTGTCATGTCTATTTCTTTTGGGGTAAATTTATGTCAGTGTGTCTAAGTAGTGTTGTATTTGTGTCTTTGTCTGTGTCCATGATTCTTAGTTGCCAGGCAAAGAAAACCCTATTAGACTTTTCCAGGATTGCTTGAATGACTTAGGTTTCGTTTGGGATGTGGGTTGATTTTTTGACTTTTGGTTATTTTAGCCTAAGCTAAAAAGTTTCATTTAAGATGGGTTTTTTTTTACTTTTGTGAGAAAAAAATGAAATCATGGTTTTAGATGTAACATTTTATTTCATTGACTTTTTAACTTATTTTGTCCGTTTGTAGCTATTTTAGTCTTTTTAGCCCCAAAAATCCTCATGCCAAACGTGGGCTGAGCACGTCAATGGAATGATTACCAACACAGCGTAGTTCTATAATTTTACAGTTTGCCAATTCCTGACTGCTTGTAGATCCCTCTCTCTCTTCTTCCCCTCCCCTCCCCTCCCCTCTGGTTCTGTTCGAACGAGGAAGAAGAAAGAAAAAAAAAAAAAATCAAAAAAACCCCCAAAATGACGTCGTTTTGGGGGGCTGCTGGGACGGCCGCCGAGAAGGGCGGCCGAGAATCCGGACTCTACCAACACAGCATAGTTTTATAATTTTACAGTTTGCCAATTCCTGACTGCTTGTAGATAAAACTTTACAGGTACGAGTACAGATGGGCTGATGGGGTACAAATCAAGAAACCAATTGAAGTTTCAACTCCAAAAAATGTTGAATACTTGATGAACTGGATCGAATCTCAATTAGATGATGAATCCATATTTCCTCAAAGGCTTGGTAATATATGGTTTTGATTTGTTCCCTTACTCATTATTAATCTTTTTTTGATAAAAGTCAAAGACAGTATCTTCTCGAAGAACCTTTGAGTTTAATTTTTGTATTATTGATTATGCTTTTTGTCCGGTTCGGTCTGTTCTGTTCCCTTTAGTTTATGTTTATTCTTTATTCTAAATTTTGTAGGTGCCCCCTTTCCTCCCAACTTCAAAGAAGTTGTGAAAACTATATTCAAACCCCTGTTCCGTGTTTATTCTCATATTTATCACTCTCATTTCCAGAAGATTGTAAGTCTTAAAGAGGAGGCCCATCTAAATACCTGCTTCAAGCATTTCATATTGTTTACCTGTGTAAGTATGCTTCAAGTCTTGAGACTCATTTTATGTTCTTTGTTCTAAATACTTGCTTCAAGTATTTCATATTGTTTACCTGCGCAAGTATACTTCAAGTCTTGAGACTCATTTTATGTTCTTTGTTCCCTTCCAAAAACTAGTTTGAGTTTCAACTTAGAAACTGGTTGTGTAGTTTTGCTACCTGTATATGATGATGTTCGCAACTATCATATCCTAATACTGTTTGCAAATTTCACGATATTGTTTTTATGTAGGAATTTGGATTGATTGACAAGGAGGAGCTAGCTCCACTTCAAGAGCTTGTAGAATCCATTGTTGTCCCTTACTAAACCGGTGTGCACTTCCCGATAGAATCAACTATCTAAGGGACACAATAAGCTGAGGTAATAATTAAAAAAAATTGATAATTAGTGATTGACTAGAGAGTTTGTCTGAGATGCTTGGTAATTGATATTATTAATCCAGTGTACAAGTGCTCTATGATTTAAGTATCTATAATCGTTTTCATGCCAAAGTTCTTTCTTCCCATGGATCAGAAAATGAAAAGCAATGAAGCGGTCTTTCTCACCTGACGCTGTTTGCAAAATGGCAAGAGAGCGCAAGCAGCCAAATACAAATCAAACTAAATTTCTACCGATCAACCCAACTACTTCACTTGCTGAGCCATGCCGTTAGTAAAAGAACTGGGAGCTCTAGACCCGTCCACGGTGCTCGTGGAACAGTGAAGGTGGATCCTATGATTTGTACGTAGAGTGAAGACAATATATGTCGTGGCATCAGAAACATTTATATGTAATTGTGTCAGCCGTGGGCTTTTCTTTATGTGTGGGGAATATATATGCTGTAATATTCAAATCTATCATTTGAGATATCATTGCATTTTAACTTGAGAGTTTCTGTAAACATAGCCTTGGATGGAATTGAGAATTTTTTTTTTTTATTTTTTATTTTATTTTATATTGTGGAATCTAGGGCCTTTTTTAATCATTGCATTTGTTGAGTTTTCATTGACTTGAATATGAAAAACTTGCAATCGAAAGATGTTGAAAACATGTACAATTTTGTTTTAGTATTAAAGGTTTGTGGCGGTGCATCTGATGGACTTGTTTGTAGAGATCATGTTCCCAGAAAATGATAAAATTGTGTCCTGTTAAGTAATTGAGACAAACTTATTGAGTTCAGTTGAGTAGGTTTTTTTTTTTTTTTTTTTTTTTATCCTCCTATTATTTATTTATTTATTATTTTCTTCAATTTTGTGCCCCTATTGCTTAGGCGGCTTCAGCTGGTGTAAAACAAAGGTAGGCTTACCAACTCTTGCTGGTGCAAAAGCAATTTAGCAATTTCATTTCATTTATATTATGTTTGAATTTTGAATTTAAAAGAGAGAAAAAAAATAGCGTGTGACCTACACAAACACATATATAACATATACATATTGACACAATATTACTTCTTTGATCAAACCTGACTTTTCTTGTCTTCTATCTAAATAATCCGAAGGTCTACTACACTTATCTTTTTTTTAGTCAAATGAATCGGGTTCTCATTTCACATATTCTTTCATTACTAAATCATTCTTTTCTGAATAAACCAATTCCTTACTTGGCTTCTTAATTAATTACTACTAAGTCAATGACTTATTCTTTAATCAATTAATTAATATTGATTGTTAGCTTATTAATCTTTATTGAGCCATAAATCATGTCTAGAATGCTTGGGAAGAGATGAGATTGAAAATATGAACTAAATGCCATTTTCAATATATGTTGAAAATAACTGTTCGCTTGAGCGATCTGTAAAAGACTGCAAAAGTACTGGAAGCCTTCAATGTGCGCTCGAACGGCAATTAATCTGCTCAAGTGGTCTGTAAATTCTCAGAATTCCGAATTTCTCAATAATGGTTTCCAAATGCATTTTTCAATCTTTAAACCCACATGTCTTGATCAAAACCTTGAAAACACTTTACAAAACGTAAACAATATTTATTTATAAATCATTTGCTCAAAATCTCATCAAGTTGTCAAAACATAAATCAAACTCCATGCATTCAAATATTTTCAGACTTCTTTTCCTTTGACGAATAATCATGAAATTAAACATGGGACTCATGAATTTCTAAAATAAAATTCAATACAAAAGCTTCATACAACAACACTTTAAAATCCAAACTCAAAATCATGAAACATAAATATTAATTAATTTATTTGAATCAAAACCCATGAACTCGTGGTTCTAAAATTTTTCTTCAAAATCAAATGTACAATAAAATTGCATGTAATTTGTGGAGTTTAATTTAACTATAACTTTCAAAATCAAATTTAAGATAATTAATTTCTAAATTAACTGTCATAAACTTGAGCTTAGCTCTAATTCTTCATTTTCTTGTTAATTTCTTTCTAATCACATAAAATTGATTTCTAACTCTTTTCTACGTCCTTTAAATTATGAAATTGAAGTTATAAAACTCTTTAAAAAGTATTTGCATGTGTGAAATTAGGATCAAAATCAAACCATTTACATTAAAATCCCTTTAATTCAAAACTAAGCTCAAAATGTTCATGAATTTATAATTTAGCAAAACTTATTCTTCTTACACCCAAATATGAAATTAATTCTTCAAATCTCTTAAAAATTCATTGTTGCATGTAAAGATGAAGTCCAAATTCATGAAAAATAACACAAATTAAACTCACTTGATAAATTTCCCAAATTAATTTCTTAGTTCTTGACCTTAATTCTTTTTTTTTTCATTATATGTAAAATTACATACAATTGGATTCTAATTCTTCTTGATTTTCAAAACATGAAATTTAACATGTGAGCCATGAATTTTTCTAATATGCAAGACCTTCAAAACCAAACTCAAAAATGATGAAACACAAGACATGTAACCTTGGATATGAACTTAGTTTACTATTCATCATCTTCTTGACATTTTCTAACAAATTTCATGTAATTAATCCCACTTACATCATGAATTCAACCTTTAGATGATTCCTTTACAAGAATTAAGGACTAAAATCTTACCTAGAATCTTTAGCTTGAAGAGTTCTAGCCCAATCTTTAGCTTCTCCTACAGTTCTTCTTCTCTTCAAATTTTGGAACTCACTCTCTCTCTCTCTCTCTCTCTCTCTCTCTCTCTCTCTCTCTAGAGTTGATTTCTTAACACAAGACAAGATGAGCTCAAGGTTCAGCACATCTTGACTTAGGAGCTCTTAGCACAACACACTTCACAATACACTTGCCTTCTTTACACTACACCACGTGTACACGCACACTCTTGAGCCTCCAACACAACACTCACATACAGAAACCCACAGATTTCTCAGCACACCCGCCAAAATTTTTCACCACACCCACACCCACACCCACACCCACCCCCACACCCACTATTAAATTCTAGACCATTCTACAATTGATTTATGATTGAGATTAATTTAATTAAGCAACACTTTAGTCTTAATAAATCTCAATTAGCACATAATTAAATTAATTATAACTAATCATAAATCTCACATAATTTAATTCGTCTAATTTGACTCCCAATAGAGCCTAATTAACTATATTTATATTTATCATTCTAAATCAAATTTTTAATCAAACTCCCAAAAGGCTCCAAATATTAAATTAAACTTATTTCCATGATCAATTTTAGTTTCTCACATTATTAAGGCCTTCAATTTCAGATTAAACTTCAAAATCTTCGCCAATAAATCACATTCTCAATTGAATACCTCAATTGAGTACCTCATAAATAAATTTAATTCATAATAACCTTAATTCCCAATTCTCATAACTTAATCAAATCTTAATTTTACAAATCTGAATCGAATATGTAATTAAACTCCCATACGGTCCAATACTCGAAATTAAAATAATTCAATTCACCAATTATACTCTTTTGAGCCATTTAGGCTTTCAATTTCGAATTCCAAATAAGTCCTTAATAGAATCATATACAAATCAGTCTCCATAATTTTCATAAATCCAGATTAAATTAGAATAATGGGCAATTAAAATTCAAATCTCCTTAATTAATTAAATGCTAATTATTTTACGCGGTGGGATCGTCACAGGAGCAAACTCTTTATCACAAATATATTTATGTTGTTCTAACAATGAAATATGAATTAAGACATTATTTTTGCTTAATGAAATGACTTTTTCCTGTATTTGTATTGGAAGGTATTTTTATATAAAATTATTTCCAAGAAGGAAATCTCCATGCATATAAGGAAAACGTAGAATTTTTTATATAATGAACTTGCTATCAATTAACCAAATAGCTACATTTTTAGCCTTGAATTGTATGAAAGTATGGTTGCCATCAATTCCAATAACCAAAATTGGATGTTTCATTAATGTCCATTTTTCTTTCGATATGGCATTCCATTTACATGAGCTGAACTGTAATTTGAATATATAAATTTTTTTCCTGATGCTTGCATTTGTATTTGTGCAGGATTTTTTTGTTTTAGACGATTCTCCTTGTCCCACTAGGTCATGGATTAACCTTTGTCGAGGGATGTTTAAATCCCTCCAATTCATTAGACGTGGTTGGATTTCCGTGTCAAATGGTCTTGGTTCAAAGATTTCAACGATTTTATTATCATTTGTTCAAATATTTTTAAACTTCTTTTCCATTGAAGAATAATCATGAAATTAAACATGAGACTCATGAATTTCTGAAATAAAATTCAATACAAAAGCTTCATACAACAACACTTTAAAATCCAAACTCAAAATCATGAAACATAAATATTAATTAATTTATTTGAATCAAAACCCATGAACTCGTGGTTCTAAAATTTTTCTTCAAAATCAAATGTACAATAAAATTGCATGTAATTTGTGGAGTTTAATTTAACTATAACTTTCAAAATCAAATTTAAGATAATTAATTTCTAAATTAACTGTCATAAACTTGAGCTTAGCTCTAATTCTTCATTTTCTTGTTAATTTCTTTCTAATCACATAAAATTGATTTCTAACTCTTTTCTGTTTCCTTTAAATTATGAAATTGAAGTTATAAAACTCTTTAAAAAGTATTTGCATGTGTGAAATTAGGATCAAAATCAAACCATTTACATTAAAATCCCTTTAATTCAAAACTAAGCTCAAAATGTTCATGAATTTATAATTTAGCAAAACTTATTCTTCTTACACCCAAATATGAAATTAATTCTTCAAATCTCTTAAAAATTCATTGTTGCATGTAAAGATGAAGTCCAAATTCATGAAAAATAACACAAATTAAACTCACTTGATAAATTTCCCAAATTAATTTCTTAGTTCTTGACCTTAATTCTTTTTTTTTTCATTATATGTAAAATTACATACAATTGGATTCTAATTCTTCTTGATTTTCAAAACATGAAATTTAACATGTGAGCCATGAATTTTTCTGAAAACATGCAAGATATATACTCTTTTGTATGCAAGACTTTCAAAACCAAACTCAAAAATGATGAAACATAAGACATGTAACCTTGGATATGAACTTAGTTTACTATTCATCATCTTCTTGACATTTTCTAACAAATTTCATG